TCCTACGCCTAATCTGCGCTAGCCTCTGGGAGTGTGATGCCAGGCTAGGTCGGGAGACAGTCGCAGCTGTGGGATGGGAAAAAGGGAGTGAATTCCTCAGAAAGATAAATTTAGTTGTGAACAAAGAACATAGTCTTTCTCTGTGAACAAGACCGTGCACAGCACCTATCACATGCGCACTCAGGACAAGGTCGAATTTTCGGCCTTCGCATTCAGTGCCTGGTGTCTTGCAGTGCAGATCAGAGAAGCGGGGCAGGACAGCGGAATTTGTGTAGCAGGCCGACATGGTAAGCCGTAGACTTGTGGCTGCTTAAAACTTTAATAATAGCACTGGCCTCCTTTCACGTTCAAAGCAATGCCAGTCCCTGCTGCCAGCAATCCGGCAAGCATGAACTCTGCCCCTGTCCCACCCCCTCGCGGCTGTCCCAGGGAAAGATCCCTGTATGATGACCCTCTCCCGCCTCCACCGCGTGGCTGTAAACCACCGGTTACAGTTCTGTAAAGGAACAGGCAAGCAGTCCCAATACTAACATTCCCCTACCTAATTCAAAGCAGGTCACCATGAGCGATATCACTCTCATGAGGATTTCAGAGACGGAAAAAGAACGGATGCTTCGGGAAAGCCTGCAAAGACCAGGGCAGTATGCCGCCATGCTCTGCAAGGCAATGATACCGGAGTACTTGCTTGTCTCCTGGCGCGGAAACGTTTCCTACTACGGAGGACCCAATAAGGCCGCTCTCCCCAGGAACCTGATGCAAAGGCTTTCCAATTACCTCCAGGAGAGCTTCGTAGAGATGTCCCTGGAGGATTTCAGCTCTATCCCCGGACATATAGACCGGATTTTACTGTAGCTGCACTTGCAGGGACTAAACAGTAGAGCGGCTAGGGCAGAACAATCATGCTAAACCGGACATTGTTAGATTTTTTTTGAGTAGTTGCACTGCCAAGGACTGAGACGTTAAGCGCCTAGGGCAAAGTAATCATGCAAAACCCATTGTTAATATTGTTAATATTCCTGTTCTGTTAAAAATAAATGTTTACATGTTTAAAACACTTACTGACTGATCCTTCCCCTGATTCTGTGTCCGGGTTAACGGCTGGGGATGGTTGGTAGGGGATCTCTGTAAGGGTGATGAAGAGATCCTGGCTGTCGGGGAAATCAGCGTTGTAAGCGCTGTCGACTGCCTCATCCTCCTCATCTCCTTCCTCATCTTCCCCGTCCGCTAACATGTCCGAGGAAGCGGCCGTCGACAATATCCCATCCTCAGAGTCCACGGTCACTGGTGGGGTAGTGGTGGCGGCCGCACCTAGGATGGAATGCAGTGCCTCGTAGAAACGAGATGTCTGGGGCTGGGATCCGGAGCTTCCGTTTGCCTCTTTGGTCTTCTGGTAGCCTTGTCTCAGCTCCTTGATTTTCACGCGGCACTAAGTTGCATCCCGGCTGTATCCTCTCTCTGCCATGGCTTTAGAGATCTTCTCATAGATCTTTGCATTCCGTCTTTTCGATCGCAGCTCGGAAAGCACAGACTCATCCCCCCACACAGCGATCAGATCCAAGACTTCCCGATCAGTCCATGCTGGGGCCCTCTTTCTAGTCTGAGATTGCATGGCCATCTCTGCTGGAGAGCTCTGCATCGTTGCCAGTGCTGCTGAGCTCACCACGATGTCCAAACAGGAAATGAGATTCAAACTGCCCAGACAGGAAAAGGAATTCAAATTTTCCCGGGGCTTTTCCTGTGTGGCTGGTCAGAGCATCCGAGCTCGGACTGCCGTCCAGAGCGTCAACAGAGTGGTGCACTGTGGGATAGCTCCCGGAGCTATTACCATCGATTTCCATCCACACCTAGCCTAATTCGACATGGCCATGTCGAATTTAGCGCTACTCCCCTCGTTGGGGAGGAGTACAGAAGTCGAATTTAAGAGACCTCTATGTCGAACTAAATAGCTTCGTGGTGTGGACGGATGCAGAGTTAATTCCATGTAACGGTGCTAAATTCGACATAAACTCCTAGTGTAGACCAGGCCTTAGTAATAATACCATTGTAACTGTATTTGTATTGTGATTGTAGTGTTGTGTGTTGGAGCAGTACTGTAGAACAATGGTTAATTACTTTTTCTGGGTTTGCAACTCTCAGAATGCAAAAAAAAATCATCCTGTAACGCACCATGTTCCACAAGTCTGTGGTACATAGGTCATGGGAATAAGCAATGGGAGGCTTTTGGGTGCCTGGAGTGGGACAGCTTATTCTGCTGTCAGGTGATAGTGTTGCTGAGTGGGTGGAAAAGCTGCAGGGGGTTCTTTTGGGGGGTGGATGGGCGTCTGGTAAACATGGTTTTCGTTTGTATAGCTGGGAAGGCTGAGAAGCAGTAGAGAGCTACTCCTGTAGAATTCCAGAGGATTATTTTTTCTTCTTTTAATAAGCATCTGACCTCTTAACTAGAATCCCTTGTAGCTGTTGGATATCAATTGAGATATATGCAAGTTCCAGTCTACAAGATGCAGCCTCAGCAGGTATGTCAGATACCTAGTCATAAAGTCACTAGCCAATCAAATCAAAATCTTGTTTCATAATGGCCATTTGTATGAGACTGTGTACAATACATTATATATACTATAATATTATGTAGTAAAACTATCCAGTATTTATGCATTGGGTATGACACTCACACAGTTGCCCCTCCCTTACACTGCCCATATATAAAATGTACATAAATGTGTAGCAATGTCATTGCAGTGTTGTGAGTTACAGGAGGGGAGCAGATCTGAATAAGCTGGCACCTCCTCGGGGGTGCTTCCACTATCCATGTCTTTTAAATCCCATTTTAAAAAAAATTAAAATATTCATTTTTAACAGTTTTTGGTAGGGTATTGATTTACTTGCTGACTCAGCAAGATTGTGTATCAATCATCATCGTCACCTCCTTTTGTCCCACATCAGGGTTGGGTAAGGCTGAGGTAATGAGCAAATTCCATCCATTGAGCTGCCATTTGAGCCTGTTGGAGGGTTACCTAGATGGTTTTATATACTGTATTATACCACTGTGTTATACCTCTTTGGACATCCACAGCCTCTCTCGCTGTGGACTCTTCCATAGAGAACCATTTTAGGTAGTCAATATGGGGTCATACTAGCAACATGGCGAAACTATTATAGTTGGCACCTTTTTAAAGATTGTAGTCACACTCTGCACATTCGGTCTTTAACAGGTGTCATCGTTTCTTAGTCTGGTTAGCCTTGTCAAGCCTAGGATATGATGGAGGCACCCCACATTTCAAATGTTTGTGGCTTTTGCTTCAGATGCTAGCAAATCTGCCATGTTTTCATTGGAAATTCCAGTGGGAGTTGTTGATGACGGCCTAAGCATTATCTCCTGCTATGTGCTTCCTATGCCTACATCAGAGAGTTCTTGAGCAAACGTGTTGCCAGGGAGCAGGAAGCAGTGAAGTGGAGCAGGTCATTCTTACTCATGCCTAGAGAGCCACGGGATTTCTGTGGGATTTCTCAGTGTATCTTGTGATATTTACTTTTTATAGTGGTATGCTCCCTTTTACCTTCTCAGAAGCATGATCAACATGACCCCAAAGAGGATGTTCTGGGAATTCCATGTCATTGACTCCATAGCATTTTCATAATAACTTTTCCACTGCTGCAGATTTTCCAAAGGAGGGGATGATATAAGCTATTGTCTGATATTTGCTCCTCCCAGCCAGGTTCAGAGAATGAATAAGAATTTTCCTGTAATTACTGCTTGTATCTGTTGGAGGTGGTTGTGGTGCTGGGTACCAGCACTGAGAGCAGTGCACTCTTCTGCAGTCTTTCCTGTACTCTCAGTGCAGCTTTTGCTGGTCCCCAGGGAGTGAAGGCGCAATGAAGGAAACAGCCTGACATGAATGCAGGGGGATGAGGAGCAGAGTGGGGACAGCAACCTGACTCTCTTTAGCTTCTAGTAACGTCTCCATATTCCCCAGTCACCCCTGTCTATTTCCAAGCTCCATTTCTGCAAGGTATAAGGGGTAGTCTCATGTCTCTCTCTGTGCCCTTCCCACTGTTACAGGGCACCCTGAAGGGGAAATAAGTGACAATTTTGCTAACATTCAAAAATTATGAGTCAGGCCCCTTAAAATGATGAGATTTAATAATAAGAAAATGTGCAATTATTTTTATTTGCCATCTAATTTCTGAGCCCATAGGTACGTGCAGGTCAGGTTTTCAGCTTTCTTCAGGAACTCTGAGGGCTAGAGACTTAATTTTTTTTAACATTAAAGCTGAGAATCTCCTGTAATCATTTGACTCCAGGAGCTGAGGCTTTAAGAAAAAACAACCATCACAAAACTCAAAATAAAATAGTGAGAGTTGGCAACACTGAGATAATGATAACTCCTCACTGGTAAGAAATGTTATGTATGGAGCTGCACAATACTTGGATGCTATGTTTGCAAGGCATGTGTTTGTTAAAACATTTGAGAATAATTCATCTGTACAGCAGTAGTGGGAAAAGCAAGGTAAATAATGTAGGCATATTAAGTTATGAATGGTGAAAATAGGGAAAAGGGCACCTCGAAGAATCAAACCAGACTTTCTTTTACATAGTAATTACTGGTTTGTTAACAGCTAGCCCTGTCTTTCTGATTTCACTGTGAGGATGTTCCACTGCTGTTATGTCTGCCAATAGTTGGTCACACACTAGAGGAGCATTAACTAATCAGTGAAGTCCCCTTTACAGTAGCTGGACTTACTGTGTATGTGCTTTGCACATGATCACAGCTGAGACTCAACATAAGCCCCTTATGTTTAGTCCTGTTAAAATGGATGATAAAAGGTAGAACTTCATGTAGCATATGAAGTAAGTGCATTATGTATGCAATCAATTAATTTTTTTCAGCTTTCTCTTTACTGTGGTGGTACTTATTTAAATTTATTTTGAAAATTGATGACCAAATTTATGCATGAACCTGTCTATATAAAACAACTTTTCATTGATCTGTTTTCTTCTGCAGGAAATTGCATCAACAATTTGAAATGTATAAGGAGCAGGTGAAGAAGATGGGTGAAGAATCACAGCAGCAGCAGGAGCAGAAGAGTGATGCCCCCACGTGTGGTATCTGCCACAAAACAAAATTTGCTGATGGCTGTGGCCATAACTGTTCATATTGCCAAACTAAATTCTGTGCTCGTTGCGGAGGAAGAGTGTCTTTACGCTCAAATAAGGTATGGAATTTGTTTAAAATAAGTATCACTGAATTTTCATATTGATGTTGCTTAATGTGAAGTGTGATGTAATTTGGGAGAGAAGTTCTTTGAAGATTATTATTGTAATTTGTCCACAGTTAGTTACTTTAGTTATTGGAAATATATCTGCTGAAAAAATGGCTCCCGAGGACATACCTGTGCCTGTCCACAAGTTCGGTATCTGTTATTCAGAATCACTAGTAATGCCTTATGGTTATTGCTCAAACAATTTTTCCTTCAAGGAGGAAACTGTTTTAGGATTTATTTAGGCCATTGTCCCTTTGACAAAGAATCTTCATTAGAACTCTGGTCCACCTGTGGACCAGTGAATATTGCTTTTAATTTAACACATACCACAGTTCTGCTGCAGGATCCGTGTACGTGGATCCTTGTGCCTGTGTGGATCCAATTACAAGATCAGCACCTATATATGGAAGGAAAGGAATTTATTTAGTGACAATCGTGTTGGGGTATTTAGAGTTAGAGGTTAGAACAAGGAATTGTTCCTGGCTTTGCCTGTCCCAGACTCACTTAGACACTTAGCTTTATTTTACCTCAGTTTAGTAATGGGTATTATAATGTTTACCTACCTCCATAGTGTCATTTAAGGGGGCTAATTAAACAATGTTTGTAAACTGCTTTTTTCTCGTACAAAGCACCATAAAATGCAAAGTATGTACAGGGAAAAGTTATCACATTTTTTTTTGCTTTTGAGAAAGTATGTTTCATTTTAAAAAGATCAGTGTGCTAAGAAATAATACTCAGAGCTATCATAATGATTTGTATTATGAGAAATCAAGTGGACTACCAGGTTGAATTAAAAAATACTTAATTAAAACCAGTACAGCAGAACTCAAGTAATTACCAAAGTATTTTAGTTTAGTAGAGAAATTAGTTTACTAAAAATTTTAAATAACGGTACTAACACCTCCTTATCTCTACTGGAAATACCTCGCCTGATGCATTCCAAAACCGCATTAGCTTTTTTCATGGTGTAGCGGGGTGGTTACTTGCTCCTGCCCTGAGGGGTTTAAAACAGCCCTGGAGGAGGGCTGTGGAAGGGCAAGATGCTTGGGCTGATTCGGAGGAAGCAGGCTCAGCTGGGGCCACACCCCAATAAGGGCCCAGCTGGCCCTCTAAAGGCTTGAGCCAGGAGCTCAAGTAGACAGTCTCTCTCTGCATTCAGGGAGAGAAGGGCCTGGGTGCAGGGAGCTCAGCCAAGGGCCTAGAGTGGAGCAGGGCTGGGGAAAGGCCAAGGGAGCCGGGGAGCTCTGGCCTAGGAAAGCCCTAGGCTGCAGGCCTGGTAAGGCCTATTAGGTACTGGGTTGTAGGAGGCAGCCCATGGGTAGGCAGAGGCAGCAGGTCTGAACCCCTTTGCCTGTGATGAGTGGCTGATACTGCAGTCTGCCCCAGTGAACAGGGGCTAGATGGAGACTGGGCAGTAGCCAAGACTGAGGTGAAGTGGGGATAGTGGATGGGGGTTCCCCTGGGAGGGGGAGACCCAGAGCTGTGAGGGGTTACTGCCAGGGGGCAGCTCCCCAGACAACAGGGCACCGGGTCCGGGAGGGACATGGGGGCCAAGCAGCAGTGGGACACCAGCCTGCAGAGGGTGCTCCAAGGCTGGAAACAAGCTAATTCCTGAGACGACCAGCAGGAGGCGCTGCAGGGGTGAGTCTGCGCACTGCTACACACGGCCATATCACATTGGTGGCTCAGTCATCCTGTGATCAACCAATACTCCGAGGTCCTTCTCCTCCTTCAGCATAGAAGTCTGTCTCAGATTCAGACAGATTCAAATATTCAGGGCACTGTTCTGAACTCTTCTTTTTTTATGTGAGTCTTTATGGGAACATGCATGATTACTTTGAGTAGAGTAATTGGCACAACATGCACATAGTATGCAGAGTAAGAGAAATTGGTATGTATTTTACAGGAAGTTGCTTTCTTTATCATATCTTAGGCTGAAAAACAAAACAAAACGAGGAGTCCTTGTGGCACCTAACAAATGTATTTGGGCATAAGCTTTCATGGGCTAGAACCCATTTCATCAGATGTATGAAGTAAAAAATACAGGAGCAGGTATAAATACATGAGGTTTAATATAAATACATAAGGTTTAATATGTATGTCAGTAATGCAAGTTATAAATCAGAGTGCACAGAAATCTTCTGCTCACTGATGGCTAAAAGTAGCTGAGGGTGTATACATCTCTCAGGCTATGTTGAACATAATGAAAGTTAGTTTAAAATATATTTTTAAAGTTTTTGTAGAGCCTTTTATCCTGAAGGATCTGACATACAATTATTACTTTTGATAACTAAATAAGGTTACAACAATATTTTGGTATAGGGAATACAATCAATACTGTGATAATTTTATCTCGTTATCAAAGGCAAAATTGGATAGTCTTTATTGCTGTACACTCAGACATCATGAGAAGACACCTCTGTGTTGGGAAGGTGTCACCAATTGGCACCCAGAAAAAGGCTCTGAAATGTGGGGATGCTATGTGCACATTTTGTCAATTACTCTGTCGAAAGAAATCAATTTTACTGGCAGAAAGTGAAATTGACAAGAGCCTGCCAGGCGATTGGGAAAGTCAAAATTGTACAGAAGAACTGAAATTTCCCCACTGAAAATTTCACTTGTGCAAAAAAGGAGGTTTTTTTATCAGAAAAAAATTCTGATTAAAATTTTATGATCAACTTTAATAGTTGCCTCTTTTTTACCTGTATCCTCAAAGTCCATCAGATTGATCATTTAAGATAGAAGAAGAGGGAAGCTGTAGTTACAACCATGGAGTAAATGACAAATGATTGGAACACAGCCATGTGATAGTTCATTCTAAGACTGGGTTATTTTTATTTCCTGTGTCTAAAATAAGATCATTGATGGACCTGTCTGATCTCTTTCCATAATTCCAAATTCATCCGGGTTTATGCCAGCTTTTGCTACTATACACATCAGTGCAGGTCATGTAGAGGCAGCAAACATCGGAAAAGGAAGTTGCTGAAGTGCAAAGCAGCCACAATTGTCCTTCTCTTAGGCTATGTTTACACTACAGCCTATTTTGGTATAACTTATGTCACTCAGGCGTGTGAAAAAACCACCCCCCTGAGCAACATAAGTTACAACGACATAAGCACTCACGTGCACACCACTATGTTGGCGGGAAAGCTTCACCCGCCGACATACTTACCGCCTCTCTCAGAGGTGATTTTATTATGCCGATGAGAGAGCTCTCTCCTTACCGCATAGAGTATCTTCACCAGACATGCTGCAGTGGCACAGCTGTATCCTCAGGCCTGGGAAAGGTACTCAGAGTTTCACAGCTAAATACAAGATCAAACATATAGTTCAGCATAAGTAGTTAACACACATTCTAAGGGACCATTAAGGGTGATGTGGCGCTTTAATACAATGGTAGTCAGAGGACAAAAAAGGGGGTTAGTGGGTTACCAATTGTTGTAATAAGCCATAAATCCAGTGTCTTTATTAAGACCATGATTTTTATTGTCTAGCAAAGTTATGAATTTAAGCTCCTGGGCTCCTCTTTTGAAGGTGTTTGGCAGATTTCCTTTGAGGATGAGGACTGAAAGGTCAGATACGGTGTGGTCGTTTTGTGAAAAGTATTCACCCACAGGTATCTGGTGATATGGTGTTTTTGTCTTTAATCATTTTCCTGTGTATGTTCATTCTAGAGTATAGTGATTGTCTGGTTTCACCCACATAGTTGCTATGGGACATTTAGTGCACTGGATGAGGTATAACACATGTGATATCAATGGGTCCTATACATGCCTCTTGAAAGGTGTGTTGTGGGGGGTATTGATCACTGAAGCAGTGGAGATATGTCATCAGGTTTTGCATCTGTTGTTCTGGCAGGGTCTGGTGCAGCTTTGAGCAAGCTGTGGGCAGCTTGCTTCTGATGATGAGTTTGGAGAGGTTGGGGGTTTGTTTGAAGACCAGAAGAGGGGGATCAGGAAAGATTTCTTTCAGGGTGGGGTCCCCATCGAGTACAGGTTATAGTTGTTGATGATACCCCGTAGGGGTTCCAGGGAGGGTGGTAGGTGACAACTAAAGGCATGCAGTCGGAGAGGGGTTTATTTTTATATTGAAGCAAAACCCGCTCCAACCACACACCCCTAGTTGTAACAGGAAAATGATATAAGACAAAAGTACCATATCACTAGTGGATGAACACTTTTCACAAAACCAACCCTCTATATCTGACCTCTCAGTCCTCATCCTCAAAGGAAACCTTCACAACACCTTCAAAAGAGGAGCCCAGGAGCTTAAATTCATAACTTTGCTAGACAATAAAAATCATGGTCTTAATAAAGAAACTGGATTTATGGCTTATTACAACAATTGGTAACCCACTAACCCCCCCCTTTTTGTCCTGTGACTACAGGAGTGTTAAAGGGCCACATCACCTCAACTGGTCCCTTAGAATATGTGCTAACTACTTATGCTAAATTATATGTTTGATCTTGTATTTAGCTGAGACACTCTGAGTACATAATAACATGACTTAAAATCATTAAGTTATGCATATTGTTAGTCTTTGTATCTGTGTAATTTTATTACTGTTGCCTTTATTCTTCTAGTCATTGTCATGCTTCCTGGTTGTCTTAATATAGATTGTAAGCTCTTCAGGGAAGGGATTGTCTTCCTATGTATGCATACAACACCATGTACAAAGAGACTCCTATTCTAATTGTGGCCTCTTGGGCACGAGCACAATACAAATACTTAGTAACAATAAAAATATTTTTAAAGGCAGATTCAGATTCCAAGGCCAGAAGGGACCGCTGTGATCGTGTAGTCGGCCCTCCTGTATAACACAGGCCATAGAACTTCCCCACAATGATTTTTAGAGAATAACAGGGCCAGAGCAAGATTTTAATTTTCAGAGACATTTGGGAAAATGTAAAAAAAGCAACAATTTTTAGGTAACTTCCTGTTTTAAGAGACAT